TAAGAATATTTAATTTCTGCCAGGCATATTAGTTATTTTGTGCATAATCAGCAATTTACCTGGGGTGGTGCATAATCATTTTCTGGTAAAATATTATACTTCGACAAATTTTTCCTTCCAATGACCACCCCTAAAAGCAACCCTTCTAAACACTATAAGCACTTTAGAAAGGCTATCGCTTTTCCTTTTCGGAAGTTAGAGCTATGTCGACACTGCCGTTTCAGGGCGGGGTCATTTTCAGGACTTTCGTCCCGGATTCAGGTTTTCGCACATATGCCATGTTGACCGCCATGGTCATTTTACCCTAAAACAGTTGAGATTACCTGTCCTAAATGAATCGCATACAAACTCATATACAGGTCCTAGACTATTAATCTTAGGCGACCCGTCGATGGTCCATGAGCTCATAAAAACAGGGAAAACTGACATTGATTCAATTGCCAAAATGTCCCATGAGGAAATTATTCAAGTTTGCAAGATATGCAAAATTACTTGCAGTGGGAAATCGAAGGTAATTCGATTTTCATTTTATATACCATGATCAAGGGTTTGGCATATTTCGATTTACTGTATATTATTTATATTACTTACTTTATTATTTACTTAAAAACTGGATGTCTTTAACAACTTTACGTCCCTAGTTCAAATAGTAGTGTTTTAAAGTGTTCATGGTGGTCAGGATACATACACATGGTAATCACAGCTGTCTAGGTAGTCTAGGTAGTCTTGGTGGTCAAAGTGTTTTAATAACTGTTCACTGTTTTTAACAATACCTTTTATTAGTAGTGTTTTAAAGTGTTCATGGTGGTCAGGATACATACACATAGTAATCACAGCTGTCTAGGTAGTCTTGGTAGTCTTGTTGGTCAAAGTGTTTTAATAACTGTTCACTGTTTTTAACAATACCTTTTATTAGTAGTGTTTAAAGTGTTCATGGTGGTCAGGATACATACACATAGTAATCACAGCTGTCTAGGTAGTCTTGGTAGTCTTGTTGGTCAAAGTGTTTTAATAACTGTTCACTGTTTTTAACAATACCTTTTATTAGTAGTGTTTTAAAGTGTTCATGGTGGTCAGGATACATATACACAGTAATCACAGCTGTCTAGGTAGTCTAGGTAGTCTTGGTAGTCTTGGTGGTCAAAGTGTTTTAATAACTGTTCACTGTTTTTAACAATACCTTTTATTAGTAGTGTTTTAAGGTGTTCATGGTGGCCAGGATACATATACACAGTAACCGCCATGACCACCAAAAACATTTTGTAAGCCTTATACTACAGTTGAGCGGACATTATATTATATTTATATGTATTACAGTATACTGATAAAAAAACGGATATGCATACCTGGGCTGCCGGAGGTTTCTCCTTTCTCACACTGTCAGAACATAGCCTATATCGAGGGGAAGATGACTATGACACTCATTAGAATAACAACATAATATAACTCATTATCTGTGTTTAAAGCTGGTCCTTCACTGTCACGTGCATATTATATTTTTGCCCAACTAACCAATAGCAATGTTTTAGGAAAGTCGCCTATCCGTAACTCGAACAATAGGGTAAAATTGGAAATTGCTATTGGTGGATTTGGTAAAAACACAATACACGCGTGACGGTGAAGTAGATAATGAGTTATATTGTTATTCTAATGAGTTTCGCAGCCATCTTTCCTTCGATAGGCTATGGTCAGAACAAAGAATATCCTTCAGCTGCATGCGGGTGTAGATAAAAGGCGGGCGTGGACTGTTGGAAATTTCTTTTAAATTATTGAACATAATTTTAAAAATAAAAGAGTATAGTAGTATTAATATTATTAATAATATTATTAATAATATTATTAATATTATTGGTAATATTAATAATATTAAGAAACAGATTAGGAAGCTGCGATTTGGATACACAAAAACACGACGCCTAGCTTGTTGTAAAGATTACATATTGTTATTTCGTATAATGAAAATAATTTACAAGAAATTACGTATACATCAAATGTATTAATTTTAAACCATAGCATTGTACTTGGAAGAAGTAAATGTCGTATTTTTATTGTAAAAGTATGTTATACAGTGTAACAAATCAAGTAACATGCATGATAGCAGTGGCGAGCTACAATCTTGGACAAAACCCTTGACACCATTCCAAGTTATTGAACATTGACAAAAGAATCTTTGTCTCACCCTACCCCCAGTTCAATGTTGTAAACAACACCGAAACAACATTTGGTAATATACCATGACACAAGCACGACATTGAGTTGGGGAAGCGGGGGATTAAGAAGGCCAACATGGTTCAACATGGAGTTTATCATAAAAACAAGCGAATTTTGTATAGGAGGGGGGGGGGATAGTCTCAACTTGTCATGTCCAAGATTGTAGCTGTGGCAACACCACGCATATTTTGCATTTTCAGTGTTAATCCTCAAACTCATTGTTAAAAAGTAATCACCGTGGTGGTTATTGTAATTATTGGTATTGTTTTGCATCCACGTTTTGTCGTTATCGGAAAATGTATGGCTTATAAGTTATCACTATTTTTGACTTGCATTATTTCAATATAGTTTGTAAATCTCAGAAGCGAAGGGTAGAACTTCCTAATAGGCAATACTCCAATAATATACGTTTCAAAAAGACAAAAAAGCTTTTAGTTTTGCAGAGTTACATTCTCAAATGTTTAAGGCACTAATAAAATCAAAGTACCATGAAATGACTTGAATAAACCAACCACACCACATATATATCATGCAATTTTCTTTGCGGAAGTCAAGAATCAAGATTTAATACATCACTGACACTGACATGGAAAGTTGACGATTCAATGGACAACAGTCAATACGCTTCCCAACACATTATTAATTGTTAGCAAGTGATTACTGTGGCGGCTATTGTTAACACTGGTATTGATAACATTTGCAAGCGATTGTTTTTTAATATGTTATGTGAATGTAAACTGCCAGAAGAATACGACAACAAACGACAACATGATTTTATGCGATCTCTGTGGGCAATGGTTCCACTTTAGATGTGTAGCCTCAAAGTACCTCAAATGTGCGGTTATGCAGACTGTGCACACCAACAACTGCTAAGAAGCCTAAAATGTGTATGTAATTTTGTCTCCTTGTAATAAATAAATAAATCACACAATAAATCTTTTCAACTTGCAATCGTTTTGTTTTTAAATCAAAAATTCAAAATTTATATGGGGGTGGGGGGGAGGGGAAGAAAATCCTAAAGGGGGGGGCGATATTCCTAGGAGAT